TAAGCACAGATAGACTCTTTTTTTTTGAAACAGGGTCTCATTATGTAGCTCTGACTGGCCTAGAACTTGCTATTTAGACCAGGCTGGCTTCCAACTCAACAGAGGTCTACCTGCCTCTGCCTCCTGAATGCTAGGATCAAAGGTGTGCCCTACCATGCCCAGCATGAACAGGCTCTATTGTTTCATTTTCCTGAGAGATTAGACTTTAATATGATGCATTTAAATGAAGTTTTGAATCTACCTTTAGTTCCTCTGGAGTTTTCCAAGTGTCTTAGACACATACGTTTATATTTTCATCATACACAGAAAATTTTCAGCTATTAGCGCTTCTTTTTTCCTGCTCTTTGGGGGCTTATTTGAACATTCACAAAGATGCTCAACACTATCTCAGATCACAGAGTAACTACTTTCTCTTTGTTTTTGGAGTCATCTCTCCCCAGGTTTCCTGACGATATCTACTGCCATGTCTATTATTGTACTCAGCCTGCCTGGGGAAATTTTCTTTATAGATGCTCTTTCTGGGTCTAGAGATTCCATTTTGCTGCATTCTTCCAGTTTTCCTTCTTTGCTCAGATTCTTCATTTGTTTATTGATTTGGGCATACTTTCTTCCTAATTTATTTTTATTTGTGTGTGTGTGTATGTGTCTTTATGTGTATGCCACATGTGCAGGTGCCTGTGGAGAGCAGAAGAGGGTGTCAGAGCCCCTGGAGCTGGAGTCCCAGGCAATGTGGAAACTGGGAACTGAACTTGGGTCCTGTGGAAAAGCAGGAAGAGTTCTTAAGCGTGGTGCTATCTTTCCAGCCCCCATACTTTTAAATTTATTTATTTATTTTATGCATATGAGTGTTTTGCTTGCATGTATGTAAGTGCACCTGTGTCTGCAATGCCAGCAGAGACCAGAAGAAGGCATCAGATTCCCTGGAACTGGAGTTTCAGACAGTTGTTAGCTGCCATGTGGGTGGTGGGAACTGAACCCAGGTCTTCTGCAAGAGTAGCCACTGCTCAAAACTGCTGAATATTTATAACAGTTACTTTAAGAACCTTTTCTACTAACTCTGATGTCTGGCTAATCTCAGTACTGATTTCCTTTTCTCAGGTTAGAGGTCCCTCCTTCCCAGTCCTGATATTTGTAGTGTTTGGAGTTTTGTTTATTTGTTTTGTATTTAGGTACTGGGTGTTGAGAATGACATGTTGCAGAGACTCTGGAGTTTATAATTATCCTCTGAACTGTCCACTTTTGATTCAAATTTCAGCTTTGGCTTCTCCTGACGTGGGAAGCAGCTGAGGTCTCCACACAGCTCCTTCAGCCTCTCACTTTCCACTGGGCTCCTTCATATTTCCTCTCAAATGTGCACAGTCCAAGACACACAGGAAGATTGTTTTTTATCTTTATATTTTGAAAAAATGTAGGACTTAAGGAAAGGTTCAAAATAGAGAGAGGAGAAAACAGGATAGTTGGCTCCTGACGAATGACACCTGAGCTTGTCCTCTGGCCTGCACACACACACACACACACACACACACACACACACACACACACACAATCACACACACAATCACACACAGAGAACAGCCATTCATTTAGCTCCAGTTCTCACAATTCTGTGGCTTATCAATGTGGCTCGATATGGTTCCTTGGGTTTAGACTGTACTTCCTCATGGGTCTGCAGTCAGCTGTGTGTCAACACTCAGCTGCTGAGTGTGCAAACTTGTCTCTTATTCCCCAGGAGGCCAACATCTGCTGGTGGTGCTGCGGAAGAATGACCATGTGCAAAGACCTCCTAGGACCTTGGCCTGGAACTTACACAACTTCATTTTGTTTACTTCAGTGCTGGGAACTGAACCAACCCAAGGCCTTGTATGTTAGATGAGTGCTGTACCTTTGAGTCATATTCCCAACCAACACAACTTCTTGGTAGTTGTATCAATTACTCAAAACCAGAACCACTCACAAGGCCAACCCACATCCAAGAGATGGAGAAATACTCTTCCTTTTCTGAAGAGAATTCAGAAAATCACTGATGGGCACATGCAGGAAGAAAGACTGCAGCCTTTTTGCTGTAAACCCTGTGGTGCTGCAGTTGGGAAGCCTGTGCACGACAGGTTTGATCCCCAGTGTGGTGCTTTTGGGAGGTGGTGGAAGCTTTAAGAGGTGGGGCATCGTGGGAGAGCTGTAGTCTTGGGACTGTGCCCTTCAGAGGATAATAGGACCCTAGTCCCTTCAGCTTCCTCTCTTTTTCACTTCCTGGCCACCTTTCCCCTGCCACATGCTCGTTCCAGGACATGCTGCCTTTCCACAGTCCCAAAAGCCACAGGGCCAATTAGCCATGGACTGTAACCTCCAAAATTGTGGTTCAAGGTAAATGTTTTCTCTTTATAAAGTGATTATCTCAAGTGTTTGTTGCAGTGATAGGAATCTTATTAACACACGTAGATCACTTGTGGAAATATAAAGCTGGTTGCTTATATCTATTAATGCTAAACCTGTGTCTACCCTATACTGGATCAACTCCTTACCCAGGAGAAATCAGGGCTTATGTCTCTGAAAGGGAGGATCCATGGCCACTTATAATAACCCCACACTGAAAATAACCCAAATGCTCACCAATATAAAAAATGGATTATAGAATAGTCATAAACACTACATAGTGAGAAAAAGAACAAATTACTGCTTTATGCAACATGTTGACAAAAGAAGCCAGATATCAAAGGGGTTGTACTGGGCTGTGGTTCATGACTGCTTCTATAGATCTCATTTGGAATGTCTGAGTGATTGAGTAGAAGGAATGGCTTTTTATAGATTAATAAACCCCTTTGATCCATACCTAAATTTATGCTAATGGAGGGGGTACTGCTGGTTATCAGAGAAACCAACCACATACATTAATTAGAGGGTGGGAATTGTCAGTACCACACTTTAACCTCCAGGAACAGAAGAGGGACTAGTTGAGATCAGCTACCAAATGTCAATGATTAATCATTCCCAGTGACACAGTGGACTTTCTCACAGTGGAGCTCCCAAAGAATGAGGCTCAGAAACTTACAGATGCTGGAGGTGCTGGGAGGGTGATGTGCTTGGAGAAGACCGGGGGCTCCCTGTCTCCTCCCAGTTCCTCAAAACTAAGGGAAATACTACACAAACCCTCTAGCTTCCTTTGCTTTTAGTTACATCATTTTATCACCAATTTTAGAGGTCAAGTAGCTAAGCAATACTCTCCCATTTGCGCTAGATAACTCCTCTGACGTGTACTAATAATTGCCCAAGTTGTTCTTGTTGAGGAACTTGGAGGCCACTCTTGTCTGTCTTCAGCTGAAACACTGACCCCTGCCTTGGTCCTGTACAGTGTCCAAAGGGTGACATTTTGATATCAGAGAGCCAGAGTGGAAAACCTCCACCCCTAAATTACACTAATGTCACCGTGTTCTGAAAACCTGTCTTCTGAAGAATCAGGAGGCTTAACCACACAGCTTAACCACACATGTACAGGCCACTCATCACTTCACTCTTTACCTCCAATCATGGTTCCCCCACAAGCCTCAGACCACCCTCTTTCTTTATACAATGTGTCCCTAATCTCTATCCTCAGGTTTCAGATTTGAGACTTGGATCTCCTGTATCCTCATGCTTAATTACCTCATGCAAAGACTGTTCTGTAAAACCTCTTTCAATGATTGGTATACTGTATAGTGTGCCAAACAGGCCTAGTTTGGTAGAAATGGCTTCCATCTGGCTCTACCTGAGTTGTAGCCTTTTCTGATAAACCAGTAATCGAGTAAGGACTCTGCTTTCCTGAGCTCTGTGAACTAATCTAGTAAATGATCAAACCAGAGGAGGGGGTTCTTTAAACACTCAATGCCGAGCTGGTAGGTCAGAAAAAGTGATAACTTGGAACTTGTAATTAACAGGTGGTGTGGGGAAAGGTGTGGGATTTTGTGGGACTGGACCTATAACCTGAGGGGGCCTGCCAACTCGGAGCAGTCAGTATCAGAACTAGCTAAATTAGAGACAGTGTTGCCTGCTATGCAAACCTCACACATCCACTGTCAGATGTGAAAACCAGAGGAAATGGGAGTTTTCTCGTTTTTCCTGTGAACCATTTACCTCTTTGCTTTAGAAGCCCAATCGCTCCCTCCTTGCCTTCTAGTGAATGCACATCACAAAGAGCCGCCAGTGGAGTGCCTGCCCGTACACAGCAGCCGGATCAGACTCCACCAGGGCTCAAGTTATCCGGGTGGACTGTGTACACTGTTCTCAGACACCCAGTAGTGGAAGCCCAACTCAACACCTGGAAAATAAGTAGATCAGAAAGACCCAGTATCTGCGTGTTTGGACTCTTAAATCCCAAAGGCAAAAAGTCCTAAGAGTTCTTACACATTAGCCTGCACCTTCCAGCATGTGGGATGTTCTTTCCAATGGTGCCTACAAATCACGTTCAAAAGTGAAGGCATAACTTAGGGGCGGGCCCTGCAGAAGCCGGGAATCTTCCCTACACTCAGTGTCAGCCAAGAGCTGGGTGGACCCTTGTGCTCTATTTCCTAAGATCTCAGTCCTGTGGGGTGCTGGCCCAGATAAACAGACTCTTCAATCCGAACAAATGCAACCAGCCACCTGGCTGGTTCCTGAACGCTTAGGTAACAGCCAGGAGAGATACTCAGCGGGCTGCTTGGGTTTTAATTAATTGCTTAAGTGGGCATGACAGAGGTTACAAGTTCAGGGCCTGCCTTCAGATATTGAATCCAAGCCAGGAATCTACTGGTTGCTTAATAATACTAAGAACTGCTTCAGTGTAAGTCAAGGGCACTTCCAGACTCTCCTTACGGCTTTATTAAATTCTCATGTATCCAAGGCAAAAATGACTGTTCTATCATCCCCCTCCACCCCAGCCACTTTCTCTTTCAAGCAGCTCTAGCACAGCACCTGCCTTCTTGTCCAGTTCCCTGTCCTTCCACAGAGAGGCAAGCTAGAGCTGAACTGAAAACCCCATCTCTTGCAGTCAGCTTTGCTTGTTTTGGAGATTTTTCTAGAAGAGGCAGGACCAGAAGCCCTGCCTTACATGCTGATCATGTCAGGCACACCCACCCCTCTGACCTTTTTTCTAGCAGCTCTGGTAAGTGGGCTGGCCCCATGTCTGGATACTCACAGACAGGCTTGCTCTACTCTGAGAGAAATCAGTTAAGCAACCTCCTCCCTGGGGCTCACAGCTCAGTTCCAGATGTGAGTGGCTGGCAGATGCTGCCTTCCAGTGCCACAGCCATGGCCAACAGGACCAACGCCTCTGCCCCGTACTACAGCTATGAATATTACCTGGACTACTTAGACCTCATCCCAGTGGACGAGAAGAAGCTGAAAGCCAACAAGCGTAAGTCAGAACCGGGGAAGCCAGCCAGGCAGGCAGAGGCTGGGATGTGGCCACAGATGAGGTTCCCTGGGCTTTGTCTTCTCTCATTAACTCCACAGGGCTCAAGAGGCAGCAACAATATGATCAGTGGACACAGACATAAATGAATAGGGCTTGAGACTAAAACTGTTCCTATAATTTTCTGTAGTGTTTATGAATTAACTTGCCATAAGTCTAAGCAAAACCTTTAATGATTCATTATTTTAAATTGTGTGTGTGTGTGTGTGTGTGTGTGTGTGTGTGTGTGTGTATCACAGTACATATATAGAGGCCAAAGGACAACTTGTGGGAGTCTGTTCTGTCCTTCTACCATGGGGTCCTGGGACTCAAACTCAGGTCATTGGACTTGGCAGCAAGCCCCTTTACCCTCTGAGCTATCTTACCAGCCCAGCAAAATGTTCTAAGACAAATATATATATAAACCAGTTTTATGCTTTACTTTTCCATTCATTTTTGTTAGTGTATATTAATTGTACAAAATAATGGGTTTCATTATGATACTTTCAGGTATGTAGATAGTGCAATTTTTTTTCAGACAGGGTCTGATTATATAGCCCTGGCTAGCCTGGTACTCATTAGATAGCACAGGCTGTTCTCAAACTCACAGCAATCCTCCTGCCTCAGTCTCTCAAGTGCTGAAATCATAGATGTGCATAACTATACCCAACTACAGGTTTTGATCATATTTGGTCCCCCATTACCCTCTCCTGTCCCTCACTCCTCTCTCATGGACCCCTTCTTCCCAAATAGTTTCCCTTCCACCTCCATGCCCCTCTCCCACTACTGAGAATTGAACCGTGGGCCTTGTACATATTAGTCAACTGCTGTGCCACTGAGCTATATCCCAGTCCCCGCCTCCTTCTCAACAGGGTCTCACTAGGTAGCCCCAGCTGACTTCGATCTCCCAGAGACCTACCTGCCTCTGCCTCCCAAGTGCTGGGATTAAAGGTGTATGCTACCATGTCTGGCTCACCTCTTTTTCAAAGGTATATTTCTCGATGAAGTTGCCTTTATTTAGAACTCTAGTAAGCTGAGTGAATTTCTTCAAATTGCTGAGTTCACTTTTTTACATGGTCCGTATTTAGATTTGGGGGGTACATTTCCTCTACCTCTAAGATGTATGGCATAATTTCTAGTAAATTGCCAACAGCTGTTGAGTCTTCCTGGCCTCAGAGAATAAGCATGAGTTAGCATCCATTTGCTCATTTGCTCTCCCACTCATCTCTTGGGGAACCTGGTGCTTTGGGGATAATCTTCCTTATCAGTCCAGCTATTCAATCAAGGCCAAAAGTCACCCAGGGAAATGAACATAAAAGTAAAGCCCTAGAATCGAGCTCTCAGCCTGGGAAACTGCCTCTGTCTACCACATAAGAAGTCTTGGGTCCCTGGACATTCCCCTTCTCTACAACCATATAATATGTTTACCAAAAGGAAATGAAATTTCTGGAAGGGATGCAATGACTTCCAATGGAAGGGAGATAACCTGCCACAGACCAGCTCAAAACAGAAATACAAACAAATGCTATTATTTAAGAAAGAAAGTAAAGCACCGGGTGTGGTAGCGCACACCTTTAATCCCAGCACTTGGGAGGCAGAGGCAAGCAGATCTCTGTGAGTTCAAGGCCAGCCTGGTCTACATAGTGAGTTCCAAGACAGCTGGGGCTACAGGGAGACCGTCTCAAAAAGACCAAAAAAAAAAAAAAAAAAGAAAAGAAAAGAAAAGAAAGACCAGGCCCCTGAGAACAGCCTTCTAGAATACCCTCTTGGGTAGAGTTATCGTTTCATTCCTAACTTGGAGGACTCACACGCAGGTGCCCACCCATAATTCCCAAGGACTTACTACACCCCCCAACAGCATATTAGATTTTCTGTGGAGACAGTAAGTTTGGTGTGTGTGGTCTGATGCAAGGTGGAAAATCATGAGGTTGAAGTACAGATTTTTGCATATATGATTCACAGTAAGGAAGACTTGCCATCCAAGGGAGAATGTGGTAGGGTGGAAATAACCATATTTGTAAATATTGTCAAATGTTCAGAACTTCAGGATACTTACTGATCTGGAAAAAAATGTAGACTTACTTTCAGAAAAGCTTTTTAAAAGTAACACAAATGAGGTGCAAGGCAGGAACAGCTTCAGATGCCACATTTGTGTGGAAGATGTCCCCCTCTGACATCCCCTGGTGTCTAAAGCTTCTCCCCACTGCCCTGAGGAAGAGAACCCTTTACCATCTTAGAACCACAAGCTCAGCCTTCTGGCTCACTCCCATCCCCCACAGAAAGCTTCCATTCTTGGTAAAAGTAGCTGAGGTTTTAATAAAATGTTCTTTCTTTGTAGGGTCATAGTTCATTAAAATAAGAAACTTCTCTACAATGTGTCAAAACTATTGAAGATCTTCTTAGCCAAAGAGAACACAGTCACTGCCTTCCCCCAATACCCTAGATATTGAGGACAGGGATTCGACACCTACAGGGTGTCATTGGATCAGTCATTGGATTCTTCTCTCTGAAGAATAGAAACGGTATTTTAATAGAAAATATTCAAGCTTTTCAGTTTAGACTACCAGCAAAATAATACTTTCCCAAGTCTGCATGAAACAATGGAAAATTCAAAATCCAGAACTGAGAGAGTCACTCAGCTTATTGGAGATCCAAACACACTCAACTCTTTTGATAAATCAGTCTTTAAACATATTGATTTTGGGTTTATGCGAGATGGCTCAGTGGGTAAAGACACTTGCTGCCAAGTTTAACAACTTGAGTTCGATCCCCAGGACACATGTGATGGAAGGAGAGAATTGACTCCCATAAGTTGTCCTCTGATCTCCCCATACCTGTGGGTAGTGTACACATATACATATACATGTGCATACAGATACTAAATAAATGTAATAAAGAATTATTATTATTTGCAAGCTGAGGAGATAGCTCAGTGCAAGCATGAAGCTCAGACTTTAGATCCCCAGAACCCACATAAAAGCTGATGTTGTAGCCATGTCTGTAATCTCAGCACTACTATGGTGAGATGGGAGACAGACAGGAAAACCCCTGGGAAGTCATGGGCCAGCTCATCTGGTATATAAAGGAGCAATGAGACAATGTCTCAAACAAAGTAGAAGGTAAGGAGAAGGCTGTCATCTGACCTCCACATACATGTCATGGCATGTGCATGCCTTCATGTATACATACATCAAACACACACATCATACACACATACAATATTGACTTGCTTTTAAAGTGGCCCAGTTTCTAGGGGGTTAGTTCTAACTATATTACAAAGGATAACAGATACCATTATACCTTCAAGTTCCTAGATTTTGGGTGCCTTTGACATCTACAGCAAGAAATGTTCCTCAAGAGTAATCTTGATAACCTCTTATTCCTCTATGTATCCTAGATGTCCATCTTGTTGTCTTATCTGAATTTAATCTCTATCTTTAAAAGTTTCTCATTACATTCTTTTATCTATTGGGGGGAATGTGTGCTCACATGTGGAAGTCACATGTGGAGGACAACTTGTAGGAGTCAGTTCTCATCCTCTACCATGTGGGTCCCAGGGGCTGAACTCAGGTAGTCAGTTTGGCAGCAAGTGCCTTTACCCTCTGAGCCATCTTGGTAACCTATTTCTCTTTTTAGAAGAGGTATTCATGACTTGACACATACCCACTCCCAAGAATATTTCAACCCTGAATAGGTAACTGTTGAGGTCCCCCGCCCCGGGGTGGGGGGTGCTGGGACAGGCCAAGTGTTGGAGCCATGTACAGGTAAGGCATATGGATTCCAAGCCTGTTTGCTGGGATTCATATCTTAGTTCTGATACTATTAGTGGGTAAAATCACCAAGATTTTCTGTGCGTAAATAAGAGATCAAGCCTTGAAGATGTCTCAGAAAGAAACCTCCAGGCAGTGGGAACAGCAGGGACAAGTCTAAGGCTCTGGAATAGGCAAGTATATTCAAGGAAAGACAAAGAGGTTTCAGGAACTATTTCCTTATATTTTGATAAACTATCCTGAAAATATTTTTTTACTCTAAAAATGGAAACCACCTTATTATCTCATAATTTAGTATAACCCATAAATCAACAAGGAAAAGAAGAGATATGTAGGTAAAAGAGATGAAGACAGTATTGAAAGAGGAAACTCAAATAGTCAACGAACACATAGCTTAGAAAAGTTAGAAGACTGCCCTTTCTCTGGGCACACAGCTAGTCACACGGCCAGGGTCTCATGAGCAGGGCACTGCATGTAGGTCTTCAGTGTCACTGTGGAGGAGGGACTTCATTCATCTTCCTGCCTCAGTGCCCCTCTCTTTAGTGGCCACTCGGAAACACGGTCTTATGAATTTAGTTTTCTATTCTTTCCAATAAAACTCAGTTCCTTACCATACCAGGCCATACTTTCTCCTACCGTCTTAAGGAAAATTCTGTAACTGTCTTTTATGAGATAGATGTTGAACTAGGAGCAATACAAAAACAGGAAGTCTAATCCATGACATATTTTCATTCATTCATGTAACCATCTATTTTGACTATGTATTTCCAAGGAGATTAGACACCGTAAAATTTCTTCACCTAATGCTTTATTAGAAAACTTTAAGAACTTAGCAATAATATACCTGAAACATTTCAGTAATTAATTTTTGGTGCCATCTACTACTCAATTGTTGTAGTCTGGGTCTTAACTGTCTCCCAAAGACCCATGTGCATGCAAGTGCATGTTTGTGTGAATGCCAGACATCACCCTTGGGTTTCATTTCTCGGGTGCTGTCTATCTTGTTTTTGTGACACTGTGTCTCTCACTGGCCTAGAACTCACAGATAAAGGTAGACTGGCTGGCCAACAAGCCCCAGGGATCTGCCTGTTTCTGCTTCCCAGGCCCTGGGACCACAGGCGCACACCACCACATGCATCTTTTTATTTATTTATTTTGCTTGAGTCCTTGTGCTTTCTTGGAAAGCACTTTAGA